CCAAGCAAAGGCATCGTGTGATGCCAAAGGGGATTCATCCAAGCCAGCTCTTTCCCGCACGCAAAGGGGGTTTGGGATCCCCCTGCAAAAACCCAACAAGCAAATCCAACACAAACTGAGCCAGCACCCCCCTTCTGTGCCAGGAGACCACTGTCCAATCCCACAGACCGCAATCCCCGAACCCCAAGCCCAGGGACACATCTTCAGCACCACACTTACAATCTCCCCACCGTCCCCATCAGAGCCCCCCCAAACCCTCTGCAAAACTCACACAGCCCCAAAGCCCACTCGTCACGTGGGAGGAAGAGCTGCATTTGCCTCGCATGGACAGTCACTCAATATTTGGGTATCATCTTCCAGCTCACCTCAGATGCTCACAGATTCAGGGACTGTAGGGGTGATCAACTCCCCCAAAACCATCCAGGCTTGCATTTTAATAGGCAAAGGTGGAAATTGCAGTGCATTATAGTGTAAAATATCAGCCACACTGGCCTGACGTGGCTGGGGGACACCCTCTGCAAGGGCCACGCCGTCCACCCTTGGAGTAACAACAGGAGGAAGATTTTTTCTGAATGTAATTAGGTCACTAACCCAAAATGACAGCAAGGCTGGGACAGGGCTGGGAGAAGCCCATCTCGTCCCCCAACATCTTTCCTCAGGCATAAACCTCTGTGTGCAATGGATAAACACTCAGTAAAATCTTGGCTGAGAACATGCTAAACTCGTGTCACGTATGGACTGAGCTCAGCTTAAGGGACACTTTGCTGTTTAGCGCTGGAAATCTACGTTGACATCTTAATAGTGCAACATTATAGAGATTTACCCAAAACAGTCTCTTTTTATGTCCTGAAAAACTACCGTGCCTAATTAAGAGGCTCCATTTCTTTCCATGTTTCCCGGTAGGTTTTTTTAATATGAAAATACAGAAGTTCTCAAGACCAACTTTCTCTGCAGAAGGGCAAACATCACTTTTAAAAACCCTCCATTTCTTTTTTGAAATTGGAAAGAATTTTGAATTTTCCATTTCTTTCAAAGCTTTTCCCCCCAAAACATCCTTTTCTAGTGAGCTCTAAGCAGCAACTTAACCAGATTTCCAAGGCATCACCCAGAGAGACACCGAGTGGCTGCAGTGTTCAGCACAGGAATTAAATTAGGTGGTATTTTCCTATTAGCAAAACAATATCAGCCTTTCCTGAGCAAGCAAATAAAGGTGCGAGGCGCTCAGGGAAGAGATTTGTTGTATTTTATGTTAACTAAGCTCTTTAAAAAAATGTGAGTTTTTCACTGAAATGCTCTGTCGTCCCCCCAACCTGCCTTTCAAATCCCTTCCTGGGAAATCAAATCCTAGGGATTAGGAGGGGACAGCCATCGCTCTCCCACTGCTGGCGGCACAGGGATGGCTGTTTTTTCCCCCGTGGAAAACATTGAAGCTCATCATTGCCCCGGCTCAGAGGGTGCAGAGCCCCCTCCACCGCCGCGGCACCCCTCTGCTGAGGGATGGGGCAGCTCCGCTTTCCTCGCAAGTTGCTGCAGCGCTCAGGATACCTTTTCCTGCTTGGGGGGGGCACGATAAAATGGCTCGATGCGGGGAGAGAAACAGCAACGAAGCCCTGTGTCCCCTCTGGAAGAAGGGGGGCCTCCCCCCCAGACTTAGGGGGGGTTTGACACCTTGCTGCTGTTTTGGCATCGTGGTCATCCAAGGCCCAATGGAGCTTGCACAGAAACCCTGGTCGCTGGTCCCAGAGCCCCTGGACGAACACGGGTTTCGGCCCCGCGCCGTGCAGACACCCTCCAGAGCGTGCTGCAATCCCCAAATTTCACAGTCCCAGTTATAAACCGCAGCAGCAATCTCCATGTTCATCCTTTCCTTCTTGCCCTAACCCAGACACCAAATCCTGGTTTTGACAGGTGCCTGAGACTGGGCTAAACTCTTCTCACTGGTAAGCTTGGCTCTCCAGCAATACCCCTCCTCTCTTCCAGCACCAACCCTGCTGCTCGCACGCACCCATCCCGGGCTCTGAGCAAGGCTTTTCCATCCTTCTCCATCCCTCTCCTGCTGGAGGGGAAAAGCCCTGTCTGGCCTCAATCCGCAAGGCAGAAAAGTAGGATCAAGTTTGCTGCTGGCACGTTCACCAAAAAAAATAAAAACACATCCAAAACTTGACGAGACACAAAGGTTTGGGCTCTGCCCCTCATTCATGCTCAACCACAAACTCGCTCACCCATTGTCCTCCCCATCCTAACATTGGAGCCGCAGGAGACAAAGCAGCCACCTCCCCGGCAGACCTACACCTTGGGCAACAAGCAGTGCACCGATCCCACCTGATTTAGCCCCAAAGACGATGACCCTGCACCATCTGGCACCTCCCATGGCCACGAGGCTCGGCACGGGAAATGCCAAAAGTCTGGTTCCTTCCCAACGCTTATTGCTGTATTTTACCTGGGCAGGTTAAAAACTCTGTGGGCAGGAAAAAAATCTTTGGGGCTCCGCGTAGAAGAGCAGGGACCTTCCTCGCAGCCTCCGGCATTAGCTGAGCAGCAGCAGCAGCGTGTTCGCTCCCCAGCTGTCCCTCAGAGGGGAGAGAAATGCAGCAATTTCCGAGGTAACCGAGATGGGGACGCAGCAGAGCGACTGTGCAGCAGTGAGTCTTGGGGAGCCGGCGCTCGCACTGCCCAGCTCCCTGCTTCCCAGAGTTCCCTATGGATTTTGAGTGCAGCAGGGACGGCTCCCGGATCCAAACAGCCCCCCGCTCCGATGCTGGACTGGGATGCTTTGCCGCAGGAGATTTGTGATTCAGGACGGGCTGCCAGGCTTTGCTTCCTTCCCCGGCGGGCTGCACCTCCTGCTCACTCGTGCAACGAGTTGGGCGGTCTCTCCGAGCTGGCCAGACCCTCCTGAAGGTTTTGCTCTAACCCAGCCCAAAGCAGAGGAGGAGAAGCAACCCTCCCGCCACCCGGCTCCCCTGCTCCCCGCAGGAGCAAGCAAGGTTGGTCGGGAAAGCGTTTCCCACCTGGTTTCTCCCGCTCGG